AGTTAATTAATCTCAATAATTAATTGTTATTTTTTTATACATATAAAAAAATTAATTTTTTTATATGTTAATATTAAAACTTAAATTTTAAATTTAACTTATAAAATAATACTTATTTTTTAATGTATCTAATTATTGGGATTTGAATTGATTAAGTTAACCAATCCCATTAGATAAATGGGCCTAAGATTGTCGAATGAGTAAGTGCATAATAGATATTGAAGGAAAACCAGGAATGATGACTTGTGATTAGCTGTTTAGTTTTAACTAATTTATTTCTACTAAAATAAAAGAGGGTTAATTTTATTTAATTTGAAAATATGAGTGGAGATTTTTCTAAAGAAAACATGCAAGAATTTATTTTAATAATTATTAAAAGTGGAGAGGTAAATATTGTATTTTGTTGTTATTTAATATAAAAAAAGTATATTAATTATATTTCAAGTTGTGCCTCACACAAGTTAGAAAAACCATTGTTCCCTCAATTCTAAAATAATAGATGTTTTTATTTTTATTTTATTTTCATATTATGAATTTGAAGATAATTTTTGTTTGTACCTAATTACCCAAAAAAAAATATAAAAGAGAACTTTTTTATGATAAGATAGAAAATTAAATGTAACAAATAATAGTAAGGTTAAAGTACCAAATTGATATTTGTATCTTCTAAAATATAAAAGAATGAATAGTATGCTAGAATAAATTTCAAATTAAGTATTAAATGCCAATTTTGGTCCTCAACTTTTTATGTACTTTTTTCATTTCTTAATTATAAAAAATGTATTTTTAAGTTTGTCTATATATATATTTAATCCTTCAACTTTAGGATTTTGCACAATTTTTAATCCTTAAACTTAAAAGTTCAAAAACTAAAAATGTGTATATATAAACAAATTTAGTGGACTGATTAATAGAAAAACTAAAAAAAGTGAATTTTTCATAATTGAGGGACTTAAAAAGTGCATAAAAAAGTTGAGGACCAAAACTGTGTAAAACCCTAAAGTTGAGGGACCAAAATTGACACTTAACCAAAA